TTTTTTTTTCATTTTTGGGCACCTTGTTCCGAATCGCAGAGCTCGGTGACGGTCATTATTGGGTCAACGACCCCGGTATTTTGATCGACAAACCATTGCGCTTTGTTGGGGACGAGAACAACCCTGCAAACGTTGTTATCGAAATGAGTGGATCGGTGCAATGGACCGCAAGCGGCGGATGGATCGAGGGAATCACCTTTCGCAGACCGAAAATGTCGTCGGGCGGGAAGTCCCTTCCCTCTCACCCCATGCTCGAAGTATCCGGGCCCGGAAGGGTCGACATGATCCACAGCGTGTTTGACAACGACGGRAGCACCGGGCCGGTGGCAAGGGCGTCGGGATCCGGAACCAAGGGCCTGTGGAGGGGCTCTGTCTTTCGCAATGGGGGTTCTTCGGGGATGTTCATCGACGGAAGCGAACGCGCAAGAGCGGAATTCATCGACTGCACGTTCAAGGGCAACCGRGCCGATGGACTCTTTGTCACCAACAAGGCCAGGGTCAGGCTCTCGAACTGCACGGTAGAAAACAACCAGGGCARTGGCATGCGGCTTGCGACAACGGGATGCCACGCCGAAGTCTTCGACTCGCGGTTCAAGGACAACACCGGTGGTGTCATCAAGAAGGAAACGCATTGTGTGGTGACGAGCAGCAGCAACACCGCATTTTTGAAAGCAAAGCCCAAGCGCCAGATTCCCGGCTTCAAACTCATGGTATTGAAGCACGGCCCCGTRGCTGCTTCGTAGCACCTTCCAACGCATCAGCGAAGGAAAAACGGCCCTCTGGTGGCTTCRCGAGGAAACGAAACGCATGTGTTTTGGGTTGGTCTTTGGACGGAGCCCCCGGACCAAGTGTGGCGAGAACGAACGACGATCCATSCAAACAATGTTCTACAGAAGTACCGTACGTAATTAGTAACCCGACTCCTAGGTTCTAGCATTAGCAATGGGTCAAGGAACCACGATGCATTGTTCCTCTCCGGACTCGTCGTCTTCGCTTTCGTCGTGGTCCCCCCAGCTTCCGTCGCTGTCGTCGCTCTCGGGGACGCAAAAGAATTCGCCCGCCGCGATGAACCGCGACGAGACCACGGCCTGCGTCCCGTCCTCGAGCTCGGCGACGAAGCAGTTCGCGGCCTCCCGCGTGCCGGCCCGRTGCAGCTCGCAGCCGGGCATGGTTTCCTCCGTAAAGACGACCGTGTTTTCCTCGATGTCGTCCGCCGCGTAGAGGCCGTCCACGTTGGTCATGGCACCGGTGCCTCCCTTGGACGCCCCGGGCGCCTCCCGCTCCCTTGTCCAGAAATCCCTCGCGTAGGAGACGCTCGGGCCCGGCTGGGTCGGCAGCACCGTTCGGTGCTTCCACAGGCGGGTGTTGACGACCAGCACGTCCCCCTCTCGGCAATCGATGGAGAGGGGTTCGGGAAGGCCCCGGTCTTCGTCTCCGGGGCCTTCGTTCTCCCCTTCGRAAGCACCGCCGCTTTCGCTGCTGCCCCCGGCACGCCTGCGCTTTGGGCCSTTTCGTTCCTTCTCCCACCTCCGCAGGAGCTGTGGCGTGGGCCGGAGCCACCACCGCTTGGTGCCCGACAATTGGTAGTGCCACGTTCCATCGTGGGATATCTGGTCCGTGTGTTCGGGGCGGCCCTCGAGGTCGGCGTTGSCCCCGGCGTTGGCCCGGTTCCGACCAAAGAARATCCACAAGCACGGCTCGTAGGACCACCCGGCCGCGCCCTTGTCGCCTGCGGGGGCCGGAGCGGGAGCAGACGGGAGGGTGGGTTCTGCTTCCGCAACGGGATCTTTTACCGGCAGCCGTTCGAGCATCTCGGACAGCGCCTTCGTGTCGTTCTGGACCGTAAAGCTGCAATACCCGGAAGCTCTGGGGTCGACTTTGCTGCACAGGAAACGGCTGGCGGCGGCGGGGGTCCCACCGTCTCGGCCGCTGTTCTGGTTCTGTTCCTCCGCGAAACGGTGTTCGATGCAAAGGGATTCCTTGTCGGCGTCCCCGAGGCGCTCGTAGACGGATCCCAGCTCCTCCCAGCACAGGGGGTGGGGAGTTCCCGGGCTTCCGCCCCCGGCATACCCGGGCAGGTAGACCGCCTGGTATTCTTCAAAGGCCCGGGCGATGGCCCTTCGCAGAGACGATCGGTGGTCCTTCCCCCCTCCCCCGGAGGTGTCCCCGTACCGGTCGCGGTRGACCGCGGGAACCGCAAAGGCCCCCCCGCCGGAGGGGCCTTCCCCCGTGGGCCCCCGGAGGAGGACCACCGGGGGGAGGCCCCCCTCCGGGTCCGGTTCGTGGGGTTCCCCGCGGTTTCGTTTCCGGTGCGGGTGTGTCTCGGGGGGTTGCGGCATGGGTGCTTGTTACCGTACGGAGGGTCGTCTTTGGGCTGTTCGGCAGGGTGTTGGTGCTGGTGCTGGTGCTAGCAGTGAATGGAAAACGGGGGTTGCAGGACGCGAAAGCAGAGTGCGGGAACGGACCATCGACGGAGCAACAAGCGGGACGGAACAGAATGCTCGGGTTTCGAGTTCTTCCAAAAACGAAAAACTATGGAAGTACGGGTGCCAACAGTACGAACTCGTACGAACCGTACAAGAATCGAACAACAGATGAAAAATTGCAATCGAGTTTTAGAGGATCGGATGAATGTTCGTACCGGTATGAATGAAGGAAGGAAGGAAGGTCGTCGTCGGTCGTTCCACGCTTTTTGTTTGAGCCCGGCGGAAAACAAAAAGCACGTCCATCCGCCGTACGGTTCGTTCGGAGAATCCAGAGCGGTTCGATGCTCGATGCCGGTGTGCCGT